CTACCAGAGCTCCTATATATATATATTCATATCTGGGTCTATTTTATGCCCATGGGACAAGGCACACAATTTGCCGCAGAAATTTACTGCCATACAATCACCAGAGGTTATAGCAGTGGACAGCAAACAGACTGGATCCAATGGGGTCAAAACCATGATTATGGGTAATGAAGATGATAGATTTACTTTTTTTCCATCCTTTTGCTGAATGTTTTGTTTTTTGGATATTTTTACAGCTTTCAGTGGAAAGCTTAGATCCTGGATAACTTTTCCTTTATTTGTGTGTGTTCTCACTCTATGGCTTTATTTTTAGTGACCTGTGCAGTGGTGCAGAAGAGTGCATATGGCTTCCACACAGCCAGCTCATGCTTTTGGGATACCACATCTGATGGTAAGAGAGCTTAAAGTTGATTTCAAACAAAGTCCAATTTCTAGGAACGTCAAACAGTGTACTTTTTTTTAAATCAAATGATTATTTATATCTTAATAAATTTTGAAAAGAACTTTATCAAGACGGTTGCTTTGTACCTAGTGACAAGTATGCCTTCAGACAAATATGAAATGTAAAGATTTAACTGACTGAAGGAAATAGGGTAATAAAACCTATCGAAAATTGTATATATGTATGTCTTGATCACTTTGATGTTTTGCTGGTATTTGAAAAACTCTGTTTTTGTGTGTTTTCAGGAACCTGTACTGTAAGATGGGAGAACCGAACCATGAACTGTATCGCCAATGTTTTCGCCATTGCTATTGTCCTGTAACTGACAAAGAATGTTAGGCTAAAGCCATTAATTTAAGAATTTGCCAGTAAATCCTTTCTGGAAAAAAGTAGTAATTACTTATTAATGCAGTAGATGAAAAGTGTGCAATATGCTTCAAAGCTATCAACAAAAACAATATTATAAGCAAGCAGTTTCATAGTATGTTGGCAGATTATTTCATATTCTATACAGAATCATTAAAATAGGAAAAATTGAATGTTAGCAGAAATAAATGCAGGAATATGGCATCATATGAAAATATAATCTTATATTTACACCAGTTTTTCACTAACTTTGTGTACCTAAGGAAATGGAGGAATCCATTTAGATAATAAAATTCCTCTCTTTAGAGAAGTTAAAAGGAATAAATAGATGATAAAAAAGCTGCAAGGACAAATGTGGAGACAGTAAGAATTAGTTAACACTTGAGTTTTTTTTTTTTTCCTTTCCCTCACTTAGTTGTACATTTAGCAGAAAGTCATTGTCTTTTTTTTTCCTGTCCACTACTATGATAATAGCAACTATAATTAACTTGTTTACTTTTTCTGAGCATTTTTACATCAAGTATTATTATTATTATTTTTTAATTTCATATTATTGGGTTTACATTTGAGTGTGATTTAAATCTACTGACTTGAATTCCCTAGTTAAACAAAATCAGTTACAGTGTATGGTGAACAGCATAGGACTCAAACAAGTGGCTTACATTTCATTCACTTTATGTGGGACAAATATTTACTGAATGCTTCCTGTGGGCATATTTCTCTACTAGGAATTATAGTCATCAGTATGCAGTTCAGATTGGCACCTATTTAGTTAGTTGAGAAATTGTAGCAGTTAGGTTTGGGAAAGATGAAAAAAGAGGTTTTTTTATCTGAGAGAAAAGAAAATGGTGAATCTGGTTGTCCATGTAGAAGGAAGCGAAATGAAAAGCACTTCTTATTATTGCCAGAGAATTATAGACGTAATTTTAAGGATTGCTCCTACATGTTAAAAAATTCATAAAATGTGCAACTCTTAGTTACACGCCTTATTAGAAATCTAATGCTTTTAGCAGTGAATTATATCATTGCTTTAGTTACAACCATCTGTAAATAATATTAAATACTTATTATGTGGGGTTCAAATAGAGTGGAGTAAACTATAAATTAAAAGTATACACTCACTAGCAGTTTATCTAATAACTCAGGGCTTGTGAAATACAAAATTTATTAAGAAAAAAAAAGTTGAAAAAGTAGGGTACACACAGCTGGCCACCAAATGTGAAGTCAATCTATTACTTGACCTTGAAAGCAAAATCACTTTTGCAGACCACTGACACTGATACATATAGTGAAATCATGATTCATTGGAATTTTCTGCGGGGAACAAAAAAGCTTGATATTAGTATTCACAATATTAAGGGAGTATTCTTTTAGGAATGCTCTGTGCATGTTTGATATTTTGCTGAATAACAATAATTCAGTGTTTAAGAAGAATATTAAGAAAATAAAAGGATTCAGTTTAATGCAGTGATCTCTGTTTTTGACACGTCAAAAATTCTCATAACCATTACAATTATGTTATTTTATGCTGCTGGCTATTGTGCCCTTGAAGAGTTTATTAGTGACCAAAATATCTGCGTGGTTAAAGCTTATTTTTTATTATTGTGGTATAGCTCTTTTTTATACATCATTTTTGATTATTGTTATAGAAACCTGATTTTAAAAAATCATTAAAACATACCTCGTGTACCTGCTATCTGCTCTGTTTATAGTGAAAATAAAATAAAGATTATCTCCTTGTGCTGCACTCTTACTTGTGTGTTATCATTGAATAGTTAAAGAAATGACATTATACTTTAAGGAGCTCTGGTGGCATATTACCTAAGGCATTCAACTGCTAACCCTGAGAGATCAGTTCACACCCACCAGCCACTCTGTGGAAGGAAGATGGAGCCATCTACTTTTATAAAGATTTACCACCTCAGAAACCCAGTGAGGGTTACTATGAGTCAGAATCAACTTGAAGGTAGTGAGTGGGTTATACTTTACAAAATTCTGAAAAGGAGGACTGAAAAAAAATTCACTGCCATCGAGTCATATCTGACTCACAGTGACCTCTCCTTGGGTTTCTGAGGCAGTGTCACTATGGAAGTAGATTGCCCAACTTTCCTTCCAAGGAGTGGCTGGTGGGTTTGAACCGCCAGCCTTCTGGTTAGCAGTCAAGTGCTTTAGCCACTATGCTACCAGAGCTCCCGAAGAGGGTGATTAGGGAAGATAAATTAATATGGGGCAGCATAGATTGTGCAGAAAAACATACAATTCAAAATAGAAACATGAACCCAGTATTCACCACTGCAAAATAATTAGTAGTTTCTACTTTATGTCTTATGATTTTAACATAAAATTTTATAAAAGTAAGAGTAAAAATATGTTCACTACTTCTTGGCTTCTAATGATTATTTTTGGTAAAGAACTTTGTTCTGTTTGTCAACTTAAAATTGAGTTGTTGCTGTTTTTTTCTTTTAATTACGAGCTTTAAGCATGTGAAATTAGGGTATTCAAATGCAAGTAGTAACTAGCATTTTTGTAAAGCTGTAATTTTTCTTTGTAAAGTACCAGTATTCTACCCTAAGTGATGATAACATCTCATTACATTGTCTCTAGTAAAAAGTACTTTTCTGCTCTTCTTTCTAAGTTGCATGTTCTCTAATTAGGAGTCATCGATGTATTTTTACCACCTACACTCATCACTAATTTTTTTCTTTTTTCCCCCCTTTTTATAGCTGTAGAAATAGATATAACAACAGTTGCAATTCAACATTTTTCATGTGTGTAATTCAGTGACACCAATTACATCAATCATTTTGTGCAACCATCATCCCTTTTTTAAAATTTTTTTCATTGTGATTTGGGTGAAAATTTACAAAGCAGATTTAGTTTACACTCATCAGTTCATACACATTTTGTATCACAGCCCCAATTACAACCCCAGTCCCTACAATGGAAGAGCTCTCCTCCATCTCCTTCCTGTGACTCCCCCTTCACTGTGATCTTCTTACCTATGCACTCCTGTCTGTCTAGATTTCCCCCTATGGAAATGCTGCCCTTCTGATCTCTCAGGGTTGACTGTTAAGGGGTGCATCTCCCTGGCATAGGTGTTCAGCTGCTAGGCATGTGTATTATGTGGCTGAGAGCTAATAAGTCAGTCCAATTCCAGGCCCAAAGGATATCCGGGGCTGTAGTCTTGGGGTACCACCAGTTTCTTTCTATCCAACCAATAATTCTGGTCATTTTTGTGTTTTTGAATTTTGTTCCACATTTTTCCTCCCACTCTATCCAGGATCTCCAATTTTGATCCCTTTCCAAGTGGTTGGTATTGGTAGCCAGTCACCACCTAGTTCTGATCTCAGGGTGGTGAAGGCTGAGGTTCCCATGGTTCATTAGTGTCTTAGACTAATTATTTTCATATGTCTTTGGTTTTTTTCACAATTCTTTGCTCCAGATGAGGAGACCAATAGTTGCATCTTAGGTAGCCGCTTGAAAGCTTCTAAGACCCTGGTCACTACTCACCAAAGTAGGATGTAGAATAATATTTTTATGTACTATGTTGTGCTGGTTGAGCTTGATGTCCCCCAAGACCATGGTCCCAAGCCCGTAGGTCCAGCAACTCATTCCCTCAAGGTGCTTGGTGTGGCTAAGAAGCTACCTCAACCTTGTCGTCTGGTTGTTCTATAATGTGTATATATATTTTTATAGCACAAATATACATGTAGGAATATCATCAGCTAAATCTCTCTGTGGGCATGGGTATATTCCTGTTCACCTACCCACATCTATTCTTCTTGCCTGTCTGCCTATGTATCCACCTATAGATTAGTATTTGTTTTTACTGTTAATGCAGTGTTGTTGTGTAGGTAATAGTATATGTCTCTGTTGTCCATACATTTTGTGCACCTCCCTGTGCCCTCCTTTTCCCTATTGTTATCATGCTGATCACACACTTGTTATATTGCCTTTCCCTTCATCCAAATCAACATATGACTCTTAACTGGTGAGGAGTTTCCCATTCCTCTCCCCAAAATCCTGGTAACCAACAAAGTAAATTTTCTTCCCTACATAAATCTTTCCTTGACATTTTACAATAATGGACTCATAATATTTGTCCTTCTGTGATTGGCTTATTTGGCTCCGAATGAAGTAAGTCATAGTGTTCTCCAAGTTCATCCATGTTATGAGATGGTTCGTGGATTCTTCATTATTCTTTAATGTTGCATAGTATTCAATTGTGTATATGTACTATAGTTGAATCATCCATTCATTTGTTGATGGGCACTTCAGTTGTTTCCATCTCTTTGCTATAAGGAACATCCCAAAAAACAAACTCATTGCCGTTGAGTCGGATCTGACTCATAGTGATCCCTCCTTAGGTTTCTGAGACAGTATCTCTACGGAAGTAGATTGCCCACCCTTCCTTCTGAGGAGTGGTTGGTGGGTTTGAACGACCAGCCTTCTGGTTAGCAGTCAAATGCCTTAGGCACTGTGTCACTAGATCGTGGGTGTGCATAAATCTATTTGTGTCCTGGATCTCACCTCTTCAGGATATATTTCTTGTAGTGAAATTACTGGCCAAACGTTATTTCTATTTCCAACTTCTTTTAAAGAAGTTTCATACCATTTTACACAGTGGGTGTACCGTTTTACAGTCTCAACAAGTGTATGAGAGTTCTAATCTCTCCACACCCTCACCAGCATTTGTATTTTCTGCTTTGTTGAACTTTGCTATCATTGCTGGGGTGAGATGATATCTCATTGTTGTTCTTATTTGCATCTCTCTAATGACTAATGATCCTGAGCATTTCTTCGTGTGTTTGTTGGTCATCTGAGTATCTTGTTTTGGTGAAATATCTGTTGATGTTCTTGGCCCATTTTTGAACTGGATTGTTTCTTTTTGCTGTTGAGGTGTTGAAGTTTTCTATAAATTTTAGAGATAAGTCCCTTGTCAGATATGTCGTGGCC